ATGGAAGGCAACGCAGAGCCACAATACGAGCGATGGCAGCTCTCAACTGAGATAGAACAACAGGAGCTGCGCGTAGAGGAAGTGCGCCTTATGCCATGAGCACTAATTACGCCTGGCGCACAAATATCAACTGCAACGGCAACTGCAACTGCAACAGCAGCAACAACAACAACACCGACAGCGACAGAATAATGCCAGTGGCAGTGGTTGAGGTAGAGGCCGGTGGAGCTGGAATGGCAACTGTTGCGACATTAACAGCGGCTCCAGCAACGGAAGCTGGCTCAGACTTGACTCGGTTAACAAAGCAAAAATGCTGCATCAGCAACAGCAACTGAAAAAGCAACAGCTTTTCGAAGAAATCAAATACACTTTTAAAAAATGAAGAAAAAAAGCACACACACACACATACATACAACATGATTAAAGAATTTCTCGTTGCGATTTTGCTTTCCTTGCTAATTTCTTTGCTGTTCTATAAGCCGGAAACCATAAAAAAGAATTCGTTATTAAGACTGCAATTCGAGAATCCCAACACTGAGGAAGTGTAAATAAGCAAATGTTTTATTTTCCTCTTATGCAAAGTATGTATGTGCCTCAGGGCATGTTTAAAGAATAAAATAAATATGTGGAATATGTGAACTTGTATATTTAATATACAATATGTATAGGCATCTAAGATCCTGACTATTTTGGGGATTATACTTGTCTGATATTGGAAGATACATCTAGTTAGGTACTCTACCTTATATTTCTTATAGATGGTTTTTGTTCCAAATCTAAAATTGGAAATCTGAATATAGAAAAAGTGTATAATAATAAAAATAAAATATAATAATATACCAAACAAATAAATTTCTATAATAATGTATTTACTTAATGAAATAAATAAATTATCAGAAATAAAAAAATATAAGTAACATTAACTATATCATTTTTTGAGCATTCAGTTAATTGAAAATTTATTAAATTAAAAGTAACCAATAGATATATATATATATATATATATATATATATATATATATATATATATATAT